CGATTATTAAGAAGAGCGTGTTTATGTGGTTGATACTGAATTGTTAAGATAAGAATAAAGTAAAAATGATTTGGAATCACACAAATTTGAGTTTGGTTCAAATAAAAAGGAGTATTAACCTGTAAAATGAGAATTAATCTGAATCGTCCAAATTTTCAATGTGATGCACAATAATCATCATCTAATGCATTGTGCATTAATACTTAATTGATGAGCATTTCGAAAAAGTGCATCAGATAAGTTTTAATGCACAGTGCATTAGATAATGATTATTGTGCATCAGATTGAAAATTTGGACGACTCATATTAATTCTTATTTTACACGTTAAGGCTCATTTTTATTTGAACCCCCCCCCCCCCCCCCCCCCCCCCCACAAATTTTATCAAATTCGTTATATGACAATCATAATGGAACGAATCGAAAAGGAAAGATGAGATATTCTTAATGGGCCGGAAAGGAGAGACTACTAAATTAAAGTCAATGTTAGTGATATCAAGTTTATTACTTGATTACTAGCTTAATTTTTAGAATCTTATTTCAAACAACTACTCCCTTTATTTTTATTAGGTTAAGATGATTGATATCAAGGTACGTGAAGAACATGGAAAATGATTAAAGTTGATATTTAATTTGGATTCTTATGTGAAGCATAATATAATTGACTTTTTTACTCCGTATTATATTTATTGAAAAACTATTAAGTATACTTTACTTATATTTTCTAACGTGTAAAAAAGTCACTTTTTCCTAAAGTTGTACTTTACTAGATGAGTGTTATATAGTAGTAGTATACAACCAATAGGGAGTATATATCTATCTATCTATCCCTAAATTAGTGATATTTTATTATTACGAATTGAATTTAAGTTATTGCTATCTTAAGTTTTAGAATCCTATTTTCGAACATCTACTCCCGTTATTTTTATTTTAGGGATTCTTATGTGAAGCATATCATAATATGATAGACTTTTTTGTTATGTTGAAATATTATCAATAAGCTAGAATGATACAGAGTATACTTTACCTTAATTATTAATCATGAGACATGTCTCGTTTTATTATCATACTGAGTATAGAATGTTAGAATACATGTCATTTTGAATTTCTATTTTTAGTAATCGGACTTGTCCTAAAAAAGTAGACAAATTTCTATTTTACCTTTCATTTTTTACCCTTAAAAAATATTTAATTAAAATTTGGGAAAGAAAGTTTACATTTACTTATACTTTGGGAGGGCCAAAATATTATTTGTGAGCGGCCATTTTATTTTTCTCAAAAACTTTTGTTTTGGGGGGAGGCTTGGCCCCTAGCCTCTACTAAGGTCCAGCTTTGCCAATTAGTGTTTCATCTCACCTCAAGCGGCAGTGTGAGAATTACATCTTGCTCGAAAATTGGTGGTGTTTGAGAAATTAGTGGTGGCCTTTTCTCCCGAGACTATGCTGGGAACCGAGGAGTAATCTGGCGAAACCGGAACACGTGGTGTTAACAAAAAAATTGTTAAACTAATTTTTCAGAAAAATAAAGAAAAAGGTTACACTCTTTCGTAAATTGTACGTACTATACTACTGCCTCCGTCCCGCTAACATTGAGACATGATGGGATGACACGATTATTAACAAGGTGAGTTAATGAGTTTATGTGGTTGATATTGACTCAATAAAGTAAGAAAAAAGTAAAATTGATTTAGAATCACACAAACTTTACCTAATTTTATATGAGACAGTTTTAGTGGAATTTCTCGTAAAGGAAAAATGAGACAATCTTAGCGGAGAGTAGTAGTCAAAGTCAAAAAGTATACAATTGTTGTTTATCCCTAAATGATCACTTATATCAAGTGTATTACGAATTACTCCGGTACCTGATTACTAGCTTAAATTTCAGAATCTTATTTTCAAACAACTACTCCCTTTATTTTTATTTGATTAAAATGATTAAAGTTGATTTTTTTTTTGTTATCTTCACGAAATCAATGTACGTGAAGAACATGGGAAATGATTAAAGTTGAATTTTAATTTGGATTCTTATGTGAAGCATAATATAATTGACTTTTTTTATTATGTTGAAAAATTGTCAATAAGCTAGAATGATACGGAGTATACTTTATTTTCTAATATAATGTGTAACAAAGACTTTATTTTCTAATGTGTAACAAAGTTACACTTTTTCGTATACTTTACTAGATGAGTCAAAAAGTATAAGTACAACTAATTAATGTTTATCTCTAAATTAGTGATATCAAGTTTAATGAGAATTACTTGATTAATTACTAGCTTGATGTTTAGAATCTTATTTTCAAACAACTACTCCCTTTATTTTTCTTGGGTTAAGATGATTGAAATCAAGGTATGTGAAGATCATGAAAAAATTATTAAAGTTTATCTTTGGGATTTTTATGTGAAGCATAATATAACTGACTTTTTTATTATGTTGAAAAACTATTAAGCTAGAATGGTACTGAGTATACTTTACCTTTATTTTCTAATGTGTACTCCCTCCGTCCCTAAAAAACTTTCAACTTTTCCTTTTTATCCGTCCCAAAAAGAACTTTATTTTCCCTTTTTGGCAAAGAATTTGTGGTTCACAGCATTTCTCTCTCCTCTGCACAACTCTCCACCACACAATTCTCACTTTCTTAATCAGCGTGCCACTTTATTTTGGAAGAACATTTAGAGACGGAGATAGTACTTTTTTAATCGTAACAGCACTCTTATATATGCTAATGGTTATTTAATAAGAGGTTTAAGCTATAAATAAACAAAAAAACCATTTGAATTAATTCACCAACATTTTTGTGTTTGGTAATACTAATTCGTGTCTATTATTCATAGCACTAATTGATATGAATTCTCTACATCACGGATTACTACATAAAGTTTTTATTGGTTACGTTTTGTGGATTAAGGATGTTTGGAAAATGACGTTTCACCCAAAAGAAATGGAAGCTTGACCCTTTTTAGTGTTTTCAATAAATTAAAAAACCGGTAAATAGATGTTTGACCCGAACATTTTTGGACGAAATCAATGAAATGAAAAGACTGTAAATAGGAGAGTTTTGGTGTAAAGGTTTTGAAACATGTCATTTCTACTAATTTTTATGGTCAAACACAGCTCAATTATCAAACATTTTTTGACAACCCGTCAACTTATTTCGCAAATCAAACCCGCTGATTGAATCCCTTGTTAACAACCTACTAACATATATGTTATCTTCTAACCGCTAACCGCAAAATGCCAAAAGACAACCCGTATGTCTTAAAGAATGCAAAACACATCACCACTATTGAAGAAAGGCACTTACACGTCGGAAGTATTTAAGTCTGCCTATACTACGTCGGTTCTGTAACCGAAGTGAAAGTATTTTTAGTAAAATAATTGAACTACTTATCACATCGGTTTTCGTTTACAAACTCATCATTTTATTATAATTTTACGTCACTCAAATGGAAAACCGGTGTTGTAAATGATTTTTATACTATTTGAATGTCAATTAGGCGTGTGCACAAACCGGTATAAACCAAAAAATGGGACAAGATCAGACCAGAAATACCGGAACCGAACCGGAATTCTATTCAATCCTCTTTCTGGTTATGAAATACTTTGTATTGTATATCCGGTTTCCTGTCTGGTTCCGGTTACAAATCGGATTATTCCAGTTTGAACCAGATCAACCGGTTTGGCTATATTTTTAGATATATATTAATTAATAGTAATAATATAAAATAGTTATAGAGTAATAAAAAATAATAATAGAAATAAAAATCTAAATAATAATCATTTTAATATGTAGTATATGTTGCTTTCTTCTTATTTTCTTGATATATAAAAGAATTAATTAACATTTACTACATACTCTTGTGACATTTTTACACACACCTTACTACCACTCGCTGAGAGATATGATCGATTAGCATGGTTAGGGAGTTGTACGTTTGCTAAATTTGACAACGGTCACGTGAAAGATCTGTCTTGCTCTTTAGATCGTTGTACTCGATCAACGCCACGAGTGCGATAAGAATTTAGTTTTGATAGTTTTGCTCAATTAAATAATTTTCATGCATGTGATCAAGCATCACTAGTTCCTAAATCTGATTGTCTCGGAATCGATCTTTGTTCCCTTTTTATCATTAGTTTGTTAGACTCAAATAAATTTACATTATTTTGCCGCATTCATTTCACAAAACCAATCTCGCACAACACATTTAATTTATTTATTTTAAGTCGCTAAAACTAATTAATACATAGTTCATTTTTTCCGTCCTTGTGGAGACGATGCTCGTACTTAGTTATAGTCTATACTTTTGACATCTATTTTAAGTGTGAGAAAACTCAAATGTGTGTGTGGATCCATGTCAAAGTTGTTTTGGCACAAGATGTCTGACTTACAGTCCTGTCAAAAATCTCTACCAATCAAATATGAAGGATGACTTAAAATTGTTATACTATATGGATGAGTTAACGCCAGGGCACTCCACTACATGAACTACCCATAAAGTCAAGCCCAAATAATACATGATATTCACTCCGTCCCTCTAAAATTATCTTATCTTTCTTTTTCGATCCGTTGCACTAAGATGGCCTCATACCGAATTTGATAAAATTTATGTGATTTTAAATTATTCTTACTTATTCATGTTTATCAACTCAATATCAACCACATAAATTCGTTTTTCTTTATAATTGCATCATCTCCTCATGTTCCAATATTAGTGGAACGGATGTAGTAATTTTTATTGAGTTTGATTTGGATGGATAGAGTTGAGAAGCAAATTAAGATGAGGTGTAGTTTCCAATTCACACCCACAATAAGAATGAAGACGCATTCATAAGAAAAGGCTATTCTGGTTTGCATGTTGATGCATATACCCCACATGGTGAAAACCTAGGAAAAAGATGGGGCCGAACGCATATAAATGTATGGAGAGACCTGAAATGAATCAGATACTTTTTGTATACTTTAATCATTTTTATCATCAAATAAGCACCACAGATTAGATAGATAGGGGATTTCTTTTGAGACAATAGTGTCAAATTTGCTCATTATAATGCAATAATAGTGCGACCCTTATTCCAATATTCGTACTCAAAATAAAGTTGTTCACTTTTGATGGTACTCGATATCAAAATGGCATAGCTTTAGGATTGAGAAACATTATAAAAAAACAAAAACGATAAGGCAACAACATTGGAAAATTCATACAAGAATAATAATATCATTATTGTTGATCGATTATTGTTAACTTCTCCGAGCGGGAATTTCACAAGACCGGATCAACCAAGATGGAAGTTATCATGGGCTTGAGGTTTGAGGAATGTGTATATGAATCACCATCTTTTTTGTAGAGCAATTCAATAACCCTTGCGAGATTGACAACTCGAATGAGTATAGGCAATGGGTAAATAGCTATTGGTTTAAGGCATTCTTGATTGATATCTTTCCATGCATTGGCTACTTGTTCTTCAAGCTCTTTCACCGCCTCTTCTTCTAACTTCCCATATTGTCTCATGTAGCATTCTACAGCCGAATCTGTGTGCCCTCTTTCTTGCTCAAACTATACACACACATATGTAAATCACAACTTAATTAATTAGTGTATGATATAGGGGGAAATATGGCAAATTATACGGTAACATGCACACGGTACAGTCTAATATTTTATATTAAAACAAATGAATATAACGTTTAAAAGAAATGAGTATTAGTATTGAATTATACAATTAACACAATAAAAATATATTTTGATGATAATACAATGATAATGTAGTTAAATGAATAAGTTGATTAGTAGTATATATATTAGGTGTAGATCATGATACTCAATTTATGCTTCTAATAATACTCACTTGTCCTACCAAGCAACGATTTAATACCAATATTCATTTTTTTAAACGTTATACTCAAAATTTTAAGATGCGTCAAATAATTTATAATTACCTTATGTCCAGCTATGTCATCTTTTAATCTTGCAATGATTGCAGAAGCTTGAACAATTAAGGGGTCATGAGTTTCCAACCAATCAAAGGCATGACTAGTTACAAAATCTTCTGGCATGCCTACCAAAGAAGCTGTTGCTGCCATAAAATAACCAGATGACTTAAGTGCCACCTTCATGTAATCATCAAACGTTGGAGGCGATCCATCATGGAACCATGTCCCTTCTTTATAATATGCTTCCACTAGTTTTTTCATCTGATAATTTGCATTCATATAAGAACAACTATGCAATGCATAAATATGCACACACTCATATGTCTACATGTGTATCTACAAAGAATAAATATGCACAGATCGAATGCTACGTATATACGAAGTATGTACTAGTGTACTACCTCCGTCCCAAATTAATTTGCAAATTTGACTTTTCTTGGTCAAACAGTTTCATTTTATTTGCTTAATTAGGATGTCAATTTTTAATTATATTATAATTTGGAGTTTACAACTTTGAAGATATTTTAATGTAGTTTCTGAATATATAAATTTTAATTATTAAAAATTGAATTAATTATCGATAAAGAGCATTGACTTTTTTTATTAGTTGACCAAAAAATATTGACTTTGCAAAACAATTTGGGATGGATGGAGTAGTAGGGAGTTTTGCGAATTTAGTCTCGTAGTTTTCATTTTTGCCCATTACAACTTTAGTTACTTCAGTATCATGTCTCGTAGCTAACAACTTGATCCATTAGAGAACTTTTCCTCCAGAAAGTATCACTTTTGGAGGAGAAAAAGGACTGTAAAATCCAGGGCGCAGCGGAGCCAGGGCACTTGGTAAAAGGACTGTACAAAGAATTTTTTTGGAAAAAAATTACCTAGAATTTTTTACACTAACAATAAATACATTTTTTAAATGGTGAAATTCACAAGAATAATCTCTACTTTTGTGGATTCTACAATGATAATCTCTACTTAGAGTGTCCATAAAAATAATCCATACTAGCAATAATGTGCACAACAATAAATTCAAGTGAAATCAAACTAATGCTCATTTAGTACTCACAACTCCTACCTCCACTTCCCCCTCACCACTCTTTATCTCGGTTCACACTTTCATGTTCCATCCTAGAAAAAACCACATATGGCGGAAATGGTATTGAGATTTAATGGATTTTAATTTGAATTTGACCCGAGAAGAAGGTGGGAAAGAGTAAAGTGAGAATAAGGATTGAGAAAATTAAACGGGCATTAATTTGAACTCACTCCAATTTATTCTTATGAACATCATTACTAGTTCAGATTATTTTTTGTGGACACTCTGGGTAGGGATTATTATTGTAGAATCCTTAAAAGTAGGGATTATTCTTATGAATTTCACCTTTTAAAATTTAGGGTGGGCCAAGACCTAAGTCGGGCCTCCCCTAGCTCCGCCCCTGGTAACATCCAACATTGTATATTTTCGACTGGAATGAGTACATTCTAGTTGAAAAATCCTTAATATGGATAGAGTTATTAATCGGGGCCGGGTCTTAGCTGCAATTAAGTAAACTTACAAGACTAAAAATGGACAAATACACAAGTTACAAGACGAAAACTACAAACATTATGGACGTACCTCAGCTTTGGCATAGTGGATGCGGCCGGATTCACCTCTGGCAGCCAATTCTGTCTCCATTTCACCAAAGACATTAAGAAAAGCAGTGTAAACAACCTTCATATATGTTGGCAGTTCACTCATAGCACTCTCGTCCAACCTTCATTCACAATAAAAAAAAGTTAGTAGTAATTGTCCTATAAAGGACTAAAAGATAAACAAAATGCAAAAATAAGACTAAGTATGTTTTATTTCCCAAATATGGCTCATTTAGTCCTATTGAAAGAATAAGCCGAGTAAAATTTCCCTTAAATGAGAGTGAATGATATGAGTCTTATTCTGGAAATAAAACAATGATGATCCTATTTATGAACTTTATCATTGTCTTAGTCCTATCTAGAGAATTTTCTTGACAGAAAATGAAATTTATCAATAAGTAGTACGTAATTGTTGCACGAACCTTTGGAAGGCATGTGTGAATAGGTGGAGTTCTTGAGGAGTTCCATGCACATCATAGACATCATCAACGACGGAAGCTAGAGATATCATTTTAGTAACAAACTCTCTTGCTAAACCATATTGTGGCTCAAAGTACACTCCTAACGACCACAAGTAGCACTCCACCAACCTATCTCTAGCGAATGGCAATTTTTCCCTTACACCTACATTTTTCCACCACCTACATATTCGCGGGCGAATGCTCGTATAAGTTTAGCTAAAAGTATATATGCTACAAACTTCTTTTTAGAATTTTAAGTTGAAATTCAACGGTCATAATAATATACACCTGATGAAGAACACGTCCGGACAACTCAAAATTAACTAGTTTGTTACCTTGTAAGACTGCCTAGCTCCTTTTGATGTTGTTTTTGTAAGAGGTTGAAGTCCAACTTTGCAAACTTCAACAAGGTAGTATCATGAGATTCATCAAGTTGGTAAATGGATAGGAATATTCTTGCATCTATCCTTGCCAACCTTTTGCAAATTGGCTGTTTTAGTGCTTCACTAAGCAGTAGTGATCTACTGGTTGGGTTTGGACCACAAAGCTGCATGGTTTGTAGGTGAGAAGTTGTAAATATTAGCATTTCATCCAATATTTTCTCACCGTGCACCCTAAGATGTGACGCCTCATACAAACTAAGAATTGCATCAGCATTGTTGATTAACGATTCCTTCAACTTGCCATCGCTTTCCAAGAATTTTGCAAAGCAACCTGTGAATGAAAAATTATTATATTCTTTATGGAAAAATTATTATATTCTTTAGGGACATCCCAAAAAACAATACTAAGTGGGAAAAATTTTACGGAACGGATGGACTAACCCACTTCCACGGATTAGAAGTAAGGACTCGAATAATTTAAAATTAGAATTTCCCTGAATATAAGTAAAAACGTTTTGAAATTCCAAAACAGATTCTTCATGTTTTATTCCCTAAGTAGGAGTAATTTCTGTCAAGTTTGGAAAAAATTACCATGTTTAAAGCCTGATAATGTCAAACTTGGCAGAAATTACTCTTATTTAAGGAATAAAAGCATGACAGTCTTATTTTGGAATTTCAAAACTTATTTACTACTATTTCGGAATTTTTCTCCAATTTAAATGGACATATGGCGAAGTCATGTCTGATACAAAATGGGGTGTAACTTCAAACTTTTTCAAATTTAAGGTTCCTCATACACATACGCTACTGTTTTAAAATACACTTTGCATCTCAATTAACTTTTGAGTTAAAATTTAATTAACTTTAGTTATTAATTATTCAAAGCTTAATATTCAAAAAAAGTTATTCAAAGCTTTTAGCAACTTAACAAACATCAAAGCACTAGTAAAAAAGTTTTTTATATGTATTTCCAAAATAAGAATTTATTATTAATTTTAGAAGTATAAAATAACAAAGCCGAACTTCATTTTGAGAGGAATGTAGTAGAGTACTGTGTTGTCTATACCTCTTAGAGGACTTTGACCTACAAGGTACAAGTACTTTGGAGGTTGTATCAAATTCCTACTAATTAATTCTGAAAAAACAATTACTTTTATACCAATATTTGTAAGATGAGTTTTGTTATTAATATCAATATTTGTATTAAAGTGCATCTACTTGTAATAAATATTATTATTCCCGATGTCCCATTATGTAAAATATATACGTAGTATATATAGATTTGGCGTAAGTTTTATGGAAGTAAAGTATAAAGATGTTATTGAACAACCCTTAGCTTGCCTCCACAACATAAGAAAAAATATGATCAATCCACAAAAAGTGAAATGGTAGCAAAGTTTAATTTAAAAGAATGTTCATATTTTTTGCACAAACTAATTAAGAAATGATTATCTTGCAAAAAAGGAATGTTCATAATTTAAGACATTTCATTCTCAAGGGTCCTTCGTGATCGGCCGAAAAATGTAGCTTATGAATGGAGACACAATGTATATGTGTTTAAAAAATATTTTAAATTAACCTGATTTTGCGTAGACATCTCTCTTGAATAATTCAGTTTATAAAAAAGTTTATGGAATTCTTTAAATACTCAATGTCACCACAAATATATACATATATATAATCCTCAATGACACAATTATTATTAATCTATATATACTTACCGCTAGATACGCCATACCCTTCTTGTCGGAGTAGTCGAAAGCGAATGGAAACTGCATAAAGATCATTCTCTTTTATGTCCTTGTCGTTGAGATCATCGTAGACCTCAAATATGTGTTGCATAATTGCTTCAATCTCCTCCTTAAAGTGATAATTCACCCCTAACCGTTGAATGTTGTTAATCAAGTCCAATTTTTCTGATGAAATGTGAGGATCTTCCACAAGCATATTTCTCACCTTTTCCTTGAGTTGTTGATGCTCTTCTTTCAGTGCTATTGTATCTCCGTCCTGCATAAGTATACATCCAATGTCACCACGGGCGGACCCAAGAAAGTCATCTTGGGGGCGAAAATATTTTTGGGGTTCAAAATATTTTTTCGAAAGAAGAAAATTATTTTCCATATATATATACACTAAAAAAAATTCTTGTTGGGGGGTCGGTAACCCCCTGGGTCTGTACTACGGTCCGCCCCTGAATGTCACGATGTCCTTCAGTCCTTAAATAAAAGTCTATTGGAGACTAAATTGCATATTAACTTTCAATAAAAAAAACAAAACAGAAAACAAAAGAACTTGCTGTTTTATTCAAATGAACACCGACCATTTGTTCAGAAGAGTATGATAAGAAAAAGTCTCCCCAAATGCTTGGATGATAATTGGCAGAACGACGAGTCACCTCATGCAACTGAGGTTTGTCATTAAGGGTTGTTAATGGAGATACGTTTATTATATTGGCAGCCATATTTTTGGTGAGAGAGGGCTAGGGATCCAAACTGGATATATAAGACCGAATGGAATCGAAGGGATAGGTTTCAGTGTATTATCCTTTGGGGATGTGGCCTTGCTATTTATAGCACTAGACAGTCGACAAAAATAGTTGATTACTAGCTTAATTAATACTCCATAATAGGGAAATTGAACTAGAATTAAACAACTTTTGGATTTCCAAAATACTCCGATCCTTTCATCCCGAAAAATTCTTCCCACATTGACTTGACTCGCATATCAAGGAGGTGAAAGTAAATGGAAGTAGCTGTGTAAGAAAAAAGTAAAATGAATGTGAACCCTCCAAAAGTGGTAAATTGGAAGAAGTTTTTGGGACGACCCAAAAAGGAAAATTGGAAGAATTTTATGGGAAGGAGGGAGTATGACTGGTACGTTTTCTACCCGAAATATGAGTCGTTACTATCATGATTGAAAAAAATTGTCACGGTTGAAAAATGTTGTCATTAATGATTATTTTGCAGTAATGACTACAAGAAGGCAGTAAGTAATGTCATAAATGTAACTCCTATTTTGGAAAGAATAACATGACTGTCCTATTTTGATATTCCAAAAGTCATTTACTACTCCCATTTCGGGAAATTTCCCCTTAATATATAATAAAGGCGCACATGTGTCTTGATCTACTGATTTATCGACTTATGACGGGTCAAATGCATAAATGATACCTTAACTATTGATATTGTTGCGCTTTGGTATCTTAACTCTTAAATGAATAAAATCAGTACCATAACTATACATAAATGTTTCAACTTGAGATTTTATTCAAATTTGTGGCAAAAAAATCTTTCATGGGTTCAGGTACCATTTATGCATTTGACCTGACTTATGGCATAAATAAAGTTTGATATAATTATACTGCAAAAAAAATTATAGAGCCCCATATGACTCCCTTATAGAGTCATATATGGGGCATTGTGGCACCATCATCACCATTCATTTATTTGGTTGAGGTTCCCATTAAATAAAGAGAAAAGGGTCAAATAAGGCCTTCTACTATTATGAAATAGTCACATAAGACCATGTACTCAATAAAGTGTCATATAAGTACCTCTACTTGTAAAAAGCAATCAAATGAGTCCTAATGACCTATTTAACACCTCTTAATCCTAGTTTCAACGTACTTCTGACCATCTTTTTAGAATACTCCCTCCGTCCTGCTAGCAATGTGACAAGAGGGAGTGTCACGCAAATCAATAAAAAATGGTTTATGTGGTTGATATTGAATTGATAAAGTAGGAATAAAGTAAGAATGATTTAGAGTCACACAAACTTTGCCAAATTTGGTATGAGACAATCTTAGTGGGACGGACCGATAAGGTAAAACGGGACAATCATAGCGGGACGGAGGTAGTACATTATACGGCATATGTCGAATATTTAACTAAGATTGGCTGAAATACAAGTCAAAAAAATCAACATGTATGCTAAAATCGGGATTAGGAGGTGTTAAATAAGCCGTTAGGACTCATTTGATTGCTTTATACAAGTAGAGGTACTTATAGATACTTTATCGAGTACATGACCTTATGTGACTATTTCATAATAGTAGAAGGCCATATTTGACCCTTTTCTCTTAAATAAATGAATGGTGATGGTGGTGCCACAATACCCCATATTCCATAAGAGTTCATATGGGTTCCATAAATCTACTCAATTATACTGGGGAAACATATTGGCGGTGCGGCAAAAAAGAAAAACGTGTTAGTCTCTCTTCTTTTCACTTCAATTTTTGTATTCTCCTAAATATGAATAAAAGATTTTCTTAGCTAATACTCCTTATTTTCAAATTGTTTTATGTATTTACTTTTTAATGATGTAAAGGCCGGGTTTGTATATTCCTTATCTATGAAACTGATCAGATGGTGTTGGTGAATATTGGTAATGCTTGTCGTGTTTGATCTTTTTGGAATGTTAATTTCAGATATCAGTGCTAATAAAAAAATAGTTATAAGTTGACTTTCCAAAGGAAAATTTTCCGAAATAGGAATAAATAAGTTAAATTTTCGAAATATAATTGATATGTTTTTCTTCCCAAAATAAGAGTAATATGACAATATTTACTGTCATCTTATAATCATTATTGCCAATTAGTTGTTGTACTAGACATTCAACATAACAACACTTATTATCATTAACGCAAGTATTTTTCAAAGACAACAATCCTATTTTAGAATTCTAAAACTTATTTATTCTTATTTAGGGCAAATTCCCTTCAAGAAACGGTAACGTAGATTTCAACATGACTTTCATAAAGCTGTACTTTACTAGTTAGTCAAAAGTATACCACTAATGTTTATCCCGTGAATCAAGTTTATTACGAATAACTTTATCAATAGCTTGATTTTATGAATCTTATTTTCAAACAAATACACTCCTTATTCTTCTTGGGTTAAGATAATTCAAATCAAGGCATTTGAAGAACGAGGAAAAATGATTAAAATGATTTTTGTTTTTGTGTTGAAAAACTATTAAGCTACAAAGATATATTTTACATTTTTAAATTTGCAAATAATGATTCTCTTAATCATGATAACATTGTCATATCACAGTAATAAGAAATAATTGAAATTTTATAACTAAAACAATACATAAGTTAGATTGAAGAGTATAGCTAGTAATGTAGTAACTTTAGTCATAGTATGTTAAATTTTTACACTTAAGTTAAGTGGTGATGACAATATACTCGTAGTAACTTTAGCTTATTATAGGTTTTATTTTTGTAATATTCTAAAAAGAAGCTCACTAAATAACAGTTTTAGACTATAATAAATAGAAAATTATTCAAATTAATTTACTTACATCTTCTGTTTTTTTAAAGATCACTTACATCTTCTGTTAGCTATAACTAATTCGAATCTAGTATTCCTGGTGTTACAATAGACCATGGAGAGGTTCCTATACTGAGAACATAATATTGATAAATTGAATGTTTTGTATTCTGGATTATATTTTATATTCTCTATGCGAGATATATATACACACACATATATGGAGCATGTGCATATGTAATCAGTTAGCTACGCAGAGAGTTTTTCTCTCAAATAGTCATATCTATTTCTGATGAAACGGTTAGCAACACAAGAGGGGAAGGTGAATTGTGTGTGTGTGGAACCGTGACAGTTTTTCGCACAGTTCTAGTGTGAGGTCCAGGGAATTGCGAAATAGTAAAGTGCACAAGGATTTAACGAGGAAAAATCCCTTGGCTCAAAGGGATTAAAAAACCTCGACCTCCCTCGGAGGAATTTTCAACAACTTCACTAATAAGCCTTTTGTGGTTACAAGGTAAATTCTCCTAATCTACCCTTGAGCCACCCCAACTCTATCCCCTATAGGAAGAGTTATGCATCTCTACCTTGCGGGTAGAGAGCCACTCGGCTTTACAACAAAGCTCTCACACACACGACCCCAACCAGAGGAAGCTACACTTAAGCTTTTCCTCAAACTTCAATTACACAACACGTAAAAGAAAAGAAACTATATCTAGAACTCTGTAAGCAGATCCAGTTGCCTTGGTCTTGATACTCTCTTATAAGTATTTCTCTCTTTTATTGTTCGGTCAAGCATACTTCATTTCTCTTTGGCTGCTTCGTTTATATAGGCTGTTTTGGGTAGACCGTTTGAGCATCCTTCCTTGAATAGTTGATCTTCTAATATTGGGACTTTCCTCAATATTTTGAATTGCTTTCCTTCTTTATAATATTTCCCATATCCGAGCTCAATATATAAGGCAGCCAAATTAAAATATCTTAACCATATATTCAAGGTAGCATATCAGTCCCGAACTACGAGGATAGGTACAAACAGCTTATCCAAATTTTGTGTGATTAATTAATTACCAAATAAGACAGGCTTCGGTCAATTCCCAAAAAGGTAGGTACATTATTCTCAATATAAGCAAGCAACGGATTAAGATATGAAATGTATTTCAAACAACTTTTACTTTTTCAAATCCGTATAGCAAGGGAGTATTTTACCTACCATAATAAGCATGTGACGGCCCATGTCAGAAAAATATCCATACTCAAATTATTTAAGTTGATCAAGGATAACTTTTATGGCAAGGAGACATTTAGCAAAGCATGCAATACGTAAGTGCTATGGTCAACCACCAAATGTAATCAAATGAGGATACTTTTCATAAAGTAATAAGCTATATCAAGTGTGGAAAGAGAGCAATTACTCAAATAAGCACTTATACAAGCAGATTACTTATATCATGTCAAGGGAGATATTTTTGCTTGAAAGTATAATCACTCATATAAAGAAAGCATATGAATTGAAAATCAAGTAGGCACAATTCATATCATATTACGGAATTAGAAGTGGAGCTGCATTAGTTCCTCCTGCATGGTTAGTCAATCAAATTAATAATATCCATTTGTTCCTGAGGATAGTTCTGTCCTTTGTTCCGCAAGGAACTGTGAGCGGTTCTATCCGTCGTCCCCCCTACATGGTTAGTCATCAACAAAACAATCATACTCAACAATTTCTCATCTTAAAATCTTATAATGGCCGATGAGGGTTAGGACATTTTAGGGATGAAAAATCGTTGATTTAATCATCCAGCCTAATGAAGTGGTACCAGGGCCGGTCCTGAGGAAATGAAGGCCCTGTGCAAAAAGAATAATTGGACCTTCTTTTCAAAGTTTCAACACAAGTTAAAAAAACAGAACCGAAACCGCACAGACTCAAACGGGACCCGAAAGTCGGGACTCGAACATAAATCGATTTAATGAAGGTTTTTTGAGTTATAAATCGGTTCAAACCGAACCGAACCGATTTTTATTAAGAGGTATTTTAATTATTTATTTTGTAGAACAAATAGGTAATATAAAACTTGTATGTCTGTATTTCAACAATTAGTTGATTTGGTCCGGTGATTGATGTTTAGAAATTAGCGTGCATGCTTTTATTTCACCTGGGTTCAAATCCTGCATGTCTCACTTCTTTTCTTTTTTGTTTCTAAAGCTTAAGATTCCCACACCGGTGGAAACGGGGGATTTACTACTCCTTCGTTCTTATATACACGCTCCTCCTTTGCAGATGAGAAATACGCGAAGTGACGAACCAGGCCTGCTTCAAAGCCTTGCCCTAGTCCACCTAAGTAATACTACTTCCTCCGTCCCGCTAACATTGGGACAAGAGGGAGTGACGCGCAAATTAATAAAGAGTGGTTTATGTGGTTGATATTGAATTGATAAAGTAAAAATAAAGTAAGAATGATTTAGAGCCACACAAACTTTACCAAATTTGGTATGAAACAATCTTAATGGGACGGACCAATAAGGTAAATGGGACAATCATAACGGGACGGAGGTAGTAGTATACTACTACAAAAAAATTGGGTCCTTCTAATTTTTTGGGCCCTGTGTAGTTGGACACCCTGCACACCACCAGGGCCGGCCCTGAGTGGTACAATAGGTTTTTGTGGCATGTACTCTGTTAAAGAAACTTATTTTTTATTTTAATTTCCGTCTCATAGCTCCAAAAACCGTTGAATAGGTTTTTGGGAGCTGCCTCTTTCTCTGCTTCATTTGCCCCTGTAATGCTGCTTTTAAATTTCTTTTTGGTTTTTTTGGTGCTCTCTCAATTACTTTCTGCTCGGAAAAAATATCGGTTCAGAATGAAAATGAGAAAAGGTGAAAGTACCATTTTAAACTGTTGGTGGAATGAATGATATGTATGATTTAGTGTGTGATTTGTGTTAAAACAAAGGTAACAAATAGCAGGCAGCTAAGCAGGGCCGGTCCTGAGGAAATGAGGGCCCTATGCAACAAAAATAATTAGGTCTTCTTTTCAAAGTTTCAACATAAGTTAAAAAAACTGAACCGAAACCGCACTGACTCAAATGGGACCCGAAAGTCGGGACTCGAACATAAATCGATTTAATGAAGGTTTTTTAGTTATAAAATCGGTTCAAACCGAACCGAACCGATTTTTATTAAGAGATATTTTTAATTATTTATTTTGTAGAACAAATAGGTAATATAAAGCTTGTACGTCCTTATTTCAACAATTAGTTGATTCGTTCCAGTGGGTTGATGTTTAGAGATCAGCGTGCATGATTTTATTTTCACCTGAGTTCGAATCCCGCATGCCTCAATTCTTATCTTTTTAGTTTCTAAAGCTTAAGATTCCCACACCGATGGAAATGGAGGATTTACTACTCCTTCGTTCCTATATATACGCTCCACCTCAAAGTAATACTAGTATATTACTACAAAAAAAATTGGGCCCTTCCAATTTTTTGGGCCCTGTGCGGTTGGACACCCTGCACACCGCCAGGGCCGGCCCTGCAGCTAAGGCTTGTGATGGATCGCCTATCCTAAGGTAGCCGGAATCCGAGAAATAAGAGGGAAAACTGGGAAAATGTTAAGTAAGATCGAGTGTAAATTTCAGCAACATAACACCAAGTTTGCACAGAGAATTTTGGATCTCTTTCCACAGATTGGAAGGTGATATTTATACTATGGAAAAGAATACTTGGTCAACAAGTAAAAAAGATGTTATTCTATTGTGGTAAAGACACGTGTCACACATGTCTAACAAAAAGAACAAACTAGTCTAATGGGAGGGTGACACATGTAAAGGTGATTGGAGAGATAACTGGGACAGCTGACTGATTGGAACTGCGCATAACAGATTTATACCAGAATATACGTGGGGGTTACATGTGTGCTATTGGTGGGGTCCATCCCTAGGAGTATATCATTTTTTAAGAGAATAAAATTATTTGTATTAATCAAATCAAAGTTAAGAGCATCCACAATACAACTCGGGGTAATGATAACCAAATCTAACAATCAACTAAAGAACCAACGAGCCCCGTCAAAGCATGAGCCACACAATTCATTGACCTCACCCTTTGACTTGATGTTTTAAGGATCATCTGTGACATTTAGTATTTTGTTTTACTTTATATCACAAATAATATGTTTTCATATCATCTTACTCCAATCAGTATTGGTCTAAATTACATACTCCCTCCGTTCCTTAACACTTTGCCATCTTTCCTTTTTTGGACGTCTCAAAAAACTTTGTCACTTTTCCTTTTAATCAATTTTTTGTGGCTTCTGTTATTTCGCTCTCCTCTGCACAAACCTCAACCACACAGTTTTTACTTTATTATTCTCCGTGCCGGTCAATTTTGGCAAAGTTTTAAGGGACGGAGGTAGTATATATTCTTTTGCTCATTACATATAAAATTTGATCCTCACATTGTATAAATATAATCGGTGGCGGACCTAGAGATTTGTGAGAGCGGGACACACTAGATACTAAACTTAGTTTATAACAAAAACTTCAAATGTAATAAAAATGGTATAAAAAATATATTAAATTATACGGAATAGTTAATTACATACTCCGTATTAAATAGTTCACTACTCAACTTTCCCATTTAACCCCTTAAAATGAAAATAACATTTTTGAATTTTTGGTTCCGTGCATCGCACGGGTCATTTTTTTTTACTAATGTATGCCACAAGCTTGGTTAGCACGCCCAAACGTTGATTTGCACATCTATTATGGCACTGGTTTTTTCCCTTACACGTTTTTTGTTGGTATGTCTATGTGAAGGATTGTAAGTTTACAAAATGTGTGCAAAAGTGTTTAAACCAAGTGTTATTATTAATAATACGAAATGGACGTTGCACTTGAAGAGCAATCTATTCATTGATGTTAGTCGGATTAATCCTTAACAGCGCGGTGGGCACATAAAGTTCAAAAATTACATATCAACATACAGCCTGCAGATTAAAGACTTTGAAGTAGCTTTAGTGTTTCATCAACATGCTTCTCCGGCTGAAACTGGTTGTTATAGATGAGTTGAACAACTCCATTTTTGTCAAGCACGTATGTCTGTCTTCCTGGCAATGCACCAAAAAAATCTCCAGGGACTCCCCACTCTTTCCTTACCCTGTCCCCTTCATCGCTTAGCAATGTAAATGGGAGCCTATATTTCTTAGCAAAGTTCTGTAAATACATTATGCAGCAGCTAGCAACATTAGGACATACTACTTGACTCCTTCACACAAAATGAAAAAGAATCAAGGAAAAAATTACAACCTTGTGTGATGTAGTATCATTATTGCTAATCCCAACAACTTCAGCTCCTGCTTTCTTGAATTTCTCATATGAATCCCTGAAAGCACACGCCTGTGATCAACATAATAAACATACAGCTTAATTCTTTCGATCAAACAAAAAATGCTCAGCTCTAAACTCACACCTAGATTCGCTTTGTTCTTATTAAAAGTAAATCCAACTTAGAACATTAGGGGCTAATTTGCCCCTACAACTAAATCTTGGTGGTGTTTTTCTACCAAAAGGGAAACTTGGCCAAACATCCCCCGTTTGAGTTTAGAATAATTACAAAGATAACATGTTATGAGTCTAGCTATTATATAGTCTTCCCTAATACCTGAATATATCCGGTATGGCTAAATCATGGGAATATGTTTCCTGTAGCAATAAAGCTATGGCTAAATCAGTTTGTTACATTTTAATCCTACACTCCTCCATGGCAAGCATCTATTTGATAAAAACAAATAGACAACTTTTCATCATCCAATAAATGTTTGCACTGCAATATAGCTACAAATTGAAGTAAGAGAATGTTTCTCTACCCATACTCTTTCAATAGGGTTGTATAAATCACTTCAGGCAAAAACTGTTTACTAGCTGGTAAATTGCCTAGATGATGAATAAGTTTTTGGTTTGTGTCATTTTTGGTACCAAACTAATCAATGGATAACTCTGATATCCTCCCTAAACACCTCTCAATCAAAACCATGACATTTTAAAAGTTAAAACACATTTCCATGGGCATTAAACCAAACCAAGCATATTTAGTATTCTTTGCATTGTGAAATAAAGTTTTCATTCACTATTCAAGTCCTTTTTTTATTTCTTGTTCTATATATCAAAAATTTTAAAATATCTGAATTGTTTTTTGAATTTTTGGCGGTTGAATCAAACTTCTAGTGTAATTCTAGATATATAAGTTTAAATATTAATACCAATATAAATATTATTAGAGGAGAGTACACAATATCTAAGTTAAAATATAGTAGAGGAAAACAAGAACACTAATATGGAACTATGTAGCATGTATACTTGATTGAGGTACCATATCCATGTATACGAGACGTTCCCGTATCTGTACTGTACGTTCCAGGTAGTATCTGAAGTTTTTAAAAATTTTAGATTTTTTTTGGTATTTTCTATAAAAAAAATATCATATACTCGTATCCAGGCAGGAAAGTGTACCTATTTTTTAAAAGCAAGCGACAAGGGTAAATGTAAAAACTAATAATCCCTCTCCATGCATCTCGAGGTCGTGAATCGACTTATATCTATCAATTATAAGAATATACACTCCGTATTTAACAACTTTGGAGTTTAGTTATCTAAAAACTTAACTACAACTGCAATATTTTACAAGAATAATATACTATGTATATGTTTAACTTTCATTGCACAACACACGCATATATGCATGTATATTTCAAATAGATTCTGATAATTTTTAATATTTATAAATACACCCATGTGCCCATATCTTATAATTTTCGGTTTTTTTCATACCGCCCTATGGTTTCCATATCTATGCTACATACATATGGATTGGGAGAAGTGTGTCCAAATGACTATTTACCCCGGACTGACTGGTAGTCTTTCGGGTCCCAATTTAAGGTTTCTAATACTCAGCATACCCAAACAGCTTTGACACATTGGGTAGAAGTGAAAGATGTCAATGAATTATGGGTGTCCTTTACAAAGAAACCCGCCAACCAATCGTACCTATATGACTATATATATGATACTACTATCATCAATCCATCAGAATCTGAAACAATAGAGAGATGAGAGTGCAAAAATTCACACCTGTTTGGTGCAGCCTGGGGTCTCGTCTGCAGGATAGAAATAAACCACCACAGGCTTGCCTTTGAATTTCGAAAGGCTCACATTCCTTCCCTCCTGATCTTTCAATGTAAACCCGGGTGGCACTGTTCCTTTCGTCACCTGCCAAATCAAAATGGTCCACAACCCGAATTCTGTTAGTATAAATTGAGCAAAAAAGAAGCTTTTAAAAAAAAGCTCATCGATGAATGCACCTCGGCGAAGATGAAGCTCTTTGGTGCTGAAGAATAAGAAGGGGTCGAGGATGGGTGACGGAATTTGAGGGGATAAAAGTGCGATTTGGCGGATTTCGATAGAACGCAAAGGCTCAGAGATGGAGGGGGTATAGGAGATTGGGGATGGAGCAGAGAAGGAAGGTTTGCTAGGTTAGGAGAAAGAGACAGAGAAGCCATTTCTTTGTACGTTGGAATGATAAAGAACTCTCTGCACTTTGCTTGCTCCCAATAAGAAACCTGTGTAGTGAATTCTCCAAGAATCTGTCCGCGCGAGCTTCCTGAACCAGTGAATCAAGATTACGGTTGTGGTGGGGACTGGGACTGGGACCGGGAAAGATAATACTCCTTTTGGTAAAGATAACCCTCCTTTCCTATTATATCTTCCAATTTTCCTTTTTCATCCGTTCCAATTAAACTTCTACTTTCCCCTTTTGGTAAAGAATTTGTGGTTCACAACATTTCTTACACATTTCTCTCTCCTCTGCACAACTCTCCACCACACAATACATACTTTTCTTAAATTGTGTGCCCATAGAAAATGGAAGATAAAATGGGAACGGAGGGAGTAGAGCAATAGACTATAGAGATGATGATGAGTTAGGAGATGTGGTGTGATATGCCCACAATGTTGCACTCTTTTTTTAGCGCCATTTTGTTCACCCCTTAACTCACTTCTTCTCATTTGGTATTTCATTTTTTTTTGTATAAATAACAATAACTGTTTATTTATTGTCCAAATTGAATATATCATACTCTCATCGATCTTAAATAAATTTCACACTTTCTTTTTTGGGTAGGTTCAAAATAAACTTCACACTTCTTCTCCCTTCTTTATTTGGCAAATTATCTACACCAAAACAGTGCAAAACAGTGCCAAACAGTGCAAAACAGTGTCGAACAGTGTCACAACGGTATACTCTACAGTACAGTCAAATTTATTTCCTTAATTTGTGTGAAGTCAAAGTGTGAAGTTTATTTAGGATCGGAGGGAGTATATAATAATTTTTTAAGATCTTTTCAATGGTATCAATATTTTATTTTAAAAAATTGAAAACAAAACGTTTTTTCTAAATACTCATTTTTAGTTGGATTTTTTTTTTATTTTTTATATGCAATATTGGTACCATACGAAAGATGAAAAAAATTAAAATATTTGATATAGTTTTAAAAAATGGATTAGAAAATAAAAGCTTAAACTAATTGCAATATTGTAACTAATTGTCTTGCGACATGGCAATGAAATAGAGTGGGGTGATGTTCACCTTGCTTTGAGGGGTGAACAAAATTGATTTTCTCTTTCTTGGCTAGACTCTATTATCTGTGTAAGCTAGTTAGTGAAATTGAGGAAAAATTAAGAGATCAGGTATATTTTATGATCCCATTTTATTGAAATTTACAAAATTCTTGCTAAATTGGCGGGTTGGATTGATTGATTCTACCGATTTATAAAAAAATCATATTTAAAATATTTTTTATCAATAAAATGAAGGAAAAAATATGAAAACAGCTAAAATAATCATTTATAGTAACTTCAACCTTACTTTTTTCATTATTACATAATTCAACACGCGAAATTAAAAGTTACCTGTTAAAATTTACAAAATTCTTGCTAAATTGGCTTGTTGGATTGATCGAATCTAATGATTTATAAAAAAAAATATTTAAAATATATTTTATCAATAAAATAAAGAAAGAAAATATGAAAAATAGCTAAAATGATCATCTATAGTAACTTCAGCCAATATAGGCCGAAGAGTAACTTCAACCTTACTTTTTTATTATTACACAATTCAACGCGCGAAATTAAAAGTTACATGTTTCGTGCAAAAGTTGACTGATAAGTCTGATAAGCCGAAAATCAGAGTCGCCAAATTGGGTCATGAGATACTAGCTTCGTCCCGCTTTAAGGTTCCCGTTGTGAATTAGCACCATTATTTAGACTATAATTAAATAAGGATATTCGACTATATTTCGAGAAATAGGATGTTTTTACTTGGATTGTTTTCAGTCATAGATCAGATCAGACCAGACTTAAACAGACCAGATCAGACCAGACTTAAACAGACCAGGCCAGACTAGACCAAGCCATACCAGACCAGACTAGACTTAAACAGACCAGACCAAACCAGGTCAGACTTAAACATAACAGAGCAGACCAGACTAGTAAATTACACTCCAAGTAAAAACATCCATAGTGTTGATGAAGATATAATATAATGAGGTCATTGATGATAATCGTTGCGTTATAGATGTATTATTTTTAATATTTGATGATTATATTGTCATTTAAGAGTGTTAATTGTTTCTCAAAATAGAGATTAGAACTGTTACATGGGACGTCGAGAAATGGAAAATATGAACCGTTAAATAGGACAGAGGGGTAATTAAAAATCATTATTTTAAAAATCACGATTACGATTTCTTAGTTATTTAAATAATGATGATAATGACTTCCTAATTAAATATTTAGGACGATATATTCATTTATTTCCAACAAATCATATTGAATGTTTTTTAATGATTTCAAGAGTTGATTCCCTAGATAGGAATAAGTGTAGAATGTTTATATTCCCAAGATATGAGTAAATGATCCTCTTTATGTCAGTTCCTCAACATATATTTTAATATAACAAAAGTATGTTTTGTTAATAAAAAATCCTTTCGGCACTATCATCGCCGATGATCGGAAAAAATGACAACATGTTTATCGAAATGTCATATCGAAGCATACTTTCATCTACTCATCTTAATGGCATTTTCTAAGAAAAACATAACATTTTTGAAGACTGGTAATGAAATCTTGATGGGGTTTCTAAAGTTAAATTTGACATTTTTTTCTTAAACCAAAGAAGAAAATAGAGAATCGGTGACAAAATAGAAAGGTAGAGAGAGAATCACAAGATCGATCAAGAGGAATTAAGGAAGAGGAGGGGGAGGAGGGGGAAGGAGAGTTCGAGGATGAGGGAGAGGGGGGAGAGGAGGATGAAGGGGGGAGGGGGAGATGATGATGACACAAGAGGAGGAAGGCCGGGACGACCAATGAGTTATTTCACTTCGGTCACAAGATTTCTATTCACTACTCGTCGATGTTTTGCCGCTGCTCGTGATGCTCATTGATGCTTACTACCGCTCGTCGATATGCTCCGTCGCTCCTCCTTGCTACTCAACGATGCTCTCTCCCACTGGTCCCTGCACTGCCTCACCTCGAAGCTCACCATCATTGCCTCACATTGAAGCTCATCGTTGTAGCAACGGTAGAAGATGAACGGGAGAAGAATACTTCGGTCGTAAACGATTAATAAATAATCAGATTAAAAGGGTAGTAAATTTGTATAATCGTCTTATTTAGAGAATTAGAATATACACTCCTTTTTTGGAATTTAAGCAACATTTTACTCTTAATTATTATAATTTCGCTAATTTCAAATTGCTATCTCCAGCAGAGGAATGAAAAATAAAGGATATGTATAAATAAATGAATAATATGAAATGTTTTCCTTAAAAACACAATCATTTCAATCAAAAGATTACTCGATAAATTTTACTCTGTATTAAAGCTTTTAACTATTACTACCTCTGTCCCATAAAACTTTGTCAAATTTGACCGGCACGAGAATTAATAAAGTAAAAACTGTGTGGTTGAGTTTTGTGCAGAGGAGAGAAAATTAACTGGAATCACAAATTCTTTATTTAAAAGGGAAAGTGCCAAAGTTAGTGGAACATCCAAAAAAGGAAAGTTTGTGAAGTTTTAAGGGACGGATGAAGGAGTATTAGGGGATGTTTGTAACTGATTCTGCTTGTACTTCTTTTTTAAAGCAGAAGCAGAATCAGAATTAGTTTTCAGAAGCTGGTACCCCTAACTTCTAAAAAAACTGTGTCTAGGAGTAAATTAGAGCACCAGAATCACTTCTTCATTTTCACCCAAACACTCCAACTTCTGCTTCTGCTCCTTCAGGGAGCAGAAACAGTTTTAAGAATCAGATACAAACACCCCTTACCCTTTTTTGTCTTGACACACAAAAAGGAAATCTGTGTACATTCTTAAACCCCCAGCCGCCCAACGTGAAGGGGGTCTCCCCGAACCGCGATTCTGCCTAAATCACAGTATTTTTGTTTGTGCATATACCTCGGTTTCCATGGAGGAATTCCAAAAAACTTGCCGAGATGTCATATCGCAGGATCCAAAGACCACCATACGCTCAATTTCCTCCTTCTTTGAAAAATCGAACCTCAATTCTTCCACCTCTGGCTCCTCACAAACCTCACGAGCAGCTGCTGATCACTCTCAGCTCTTGCTCGCCCGACCCCCCAGGTGAAGTTTGCTTTTCTCGTTTATTCTGAAGTTTATTTACTTTCAATTTTGTGCTCCGTTTGGGTTGAGGCTTCTAGTCTAGGTTATAGCAAAAAACGTTTGGATAAAATGAGAAAATAGACCATGAAGTGAATATCTCAACGTGCTTTCAGGATAATACTCTGTTACAACTTTACCCAGGTTAATTTTATTGCGACCATGTTTGGATTGAGTTGAACAAAAACTGCAAATAAGACTACATAAGATATTCACCCCTATCGCTCCCTATTTTGGACAACTGAAATGGAGTGAGTCAGGGTGAATGATTCACCTGGGTTAGCTCAGGCTACTAAAATAAAATAAAACTACAAAGGGAGTGAATCTCATAATCTGCCTAGATTCACTTCGGTTAATCTCAATCCAAATCGATTAATGAAAGCTGCTGTCTTGAATCTCATGGTAAAAAATACAAAAATTTTGGGATCACAGACAAATGGTATCACTGTGGACGTGCTCAAAGCTTTGTGCTGTGTGCTTTGTTGCTGGAATATTCGTAGGATACACTATGAATTGGCGTGTCAAGCGGTGGGCTTCCAAGCTGCTCAAGCGGTTGAAGGACTTTTGACGCACTCTCCCATTTCAGCTCAGAATCGGTGTTAAACTGTGTACTTCAAGTGGATAAGCATACACGTGTTTTGAGGAGTTTTATGATTCAAGCCGCTATTTTTGGAACAGTTGTATTTGCTTATTGAAGATATGTCATTATGTTGTTTTGTCATTGAAGTAGAAATTAATTGAAAAATATTTCCCTGTGTTTCTTCTTTTGAACTAAATTCTTTCACCCTTCTTGCCCTAAAAACTGTTATGCCTTGCAAAAGCATTGTGTCAGTTCAAGATTTATACTGTAGAATGCGAAATGCAAATATTGACAGAGGAGTTGCAGAAGATATTATATACTTCATATATTTTCTAACTTAGGATGCTAGTTTGACATGCATAAGCTAGGCCCTTATAGCTTTTTGACTTTAAGAAGTTATCAAAATCCCCAATTCGTGTCTTTGGTAAGACAACTCATTTGAGAGGCTTTAAACCTTTTTAAGAGCGTGAAAAGGGGTTGCATTTGATGCTAAAAAGCTCTTCGTCTTCCTTGATTAATAGTTCAATCTTTTGTAACTGTTCAAAACCCTGTAGTCATGGTTTTTTTTTTGCCGGCAATCTTTTTTCAAACAATAATTATCTTTTTCACCTGGGAAGTTTTTAGGCACTAAAATCCCACAGCCTCCCAAAACTTCAAAAGTTAGTTTTTCCATCGTGCTGTGCAAATACGTACTTAGACTTCAAAAGCTTAAAAAACTAAGTTTATCATGTCAAACTTGTCTATTACTTTCTCTGGGAAGTTTATTTCTTACACTGTCTTCATTTTTTCAAGCAATGCTCTTTTTTAGACGAAATGGGGCTCTTTTTATGTGACAGAGGGACTAGTATACTTTCTTTTTATCAAAAGATTGTGCGCACTTGTGGATACATCTGTGGTGCTGCAATCACATAATTTCATTTTTAAATGGATTGAAAGTTTGAAATCTATTAGTCTATCACTCTATCCTCAAGGTACATATGTATTTTCATTCCAAATGAGTATGGTACAGTTACGCTTCTGATATCTTTATGTCTCAGTATTTTACATAAATGAATGACTTGACTTAGATTCTATTAAAAAAATAAGAACAATGAAACTTTTGACACTGTTTGTGCCTCTCTGTACTTGCTGACATGTTGGATGCTTCTGTTCTTTGCACATAGAGGTGTAAGGCCATGATGAACCATGCACCAAACACACTTCTATATTTTCTGTGGGGTCTGAGATGTATTAATAGTCTATACGTATATGTGTCACTCTTAACCATGTGAATTTACAGAAAGTAAAGCAATAGAAAAAAAGATGATTCATACATCTGTGCCCAAACATCAAAAGTATTCCTTGTGGAACTCAAAGCGTGTTGATGTCTTATACGTCAGTTCTTGTGCTAGCTTCTTCAACTCCTTTGCCAATACTGGTGTCCCACAGTAAAAAACTCCTGTAAAAGGAGGGAAACAGACATTGGATTTTTCTATGGACTTGCATCATTGCCTGGCATTGTAATAAATAGGCCACATTTGCTAGCATTAATTAATTGCCTTTTTCTGGTTATCACTAAAATAATCAGGAAACGATAATTAGTAACCTTGGACATATACATTTTGCTGAAATCAGTTTTATTGAGATTTTTCCTTTTTAGCTATTTCAGACTATGCGAAATAGCTCCTGCCAAATGGACTCTTTGAGTAATGTTCTGGAAGGCTGGAGATGGTGTTGCTATGTTATTTTATGCACTTATACATGCCATCTTAAAGTTTCAGCTGTCCCATTTTCTTCCTTTTTCAAAGTGTCATCTCGATCTAAGCACAGAGGTCTTATAATCTCCATTCCATGAAAAACAAGTCAGTTCGAAATATTGAAATTAATGTTACAAACAAAATTTTTAGTTTTAGGTTGGCTGTTGGAGGTAATATTTTTTTTTCCAGATAACTACTTATATAAGCATGTACATTTGTTTGTAAATTATGCCAATATTTGAGGCATTACCCCTTCGAGATGATGGTATTATTTGACCTTTCACGTACTTTGTGATTTCCTTCTTTTTTTAATAACAGTTTTGCTGCATTTTCAAGGTTGTGTATTGAGCAAATACATGGTAGTGCTAGATCATTTCTTGAATAATTGACAAATAGAGAAATATATGGTGATTATGTCAAGGTCTTTACCTACTGTAGAATATGGGTGCTTTGAAGCTATTTTACTGAATACTTCTTTCCAATTTGGCCTTGCAAAATGTGTCCTTACCTGCACTAATTATTTATTGTTACAAAATTGGAAGTAAAAATATTTTATGTTACCAATACACACACATTTATAATGGGTTTTTCATAATAGAGAATTGATGGATCATACCCTTGTGCCCGAGAGGATATCAACACCATGTTTTGCATGACTAAGTGCTTGGACCATAGTAATCAGAGTTGACCTTGCATCTCCTTCTTCATAAACACTTGTTAGATAATTGTGCATATCTATCTGCCCCTGCTTATTGTGGTCATCCAGGAAAAAAACGAACTAGCCAAATTAGTGCACGATGATTGGGTGCAAGTGTGCAACAAAGGACAAAATAAAGTAAAGTAAGTTAATGCTTATGCAGTTACTACTTTGTGATCCATCTCTGCAACTTCATTCATCACTCCTTTGAACCACTCAAAGGATCCAGGTTCTCTTGTTACCCAATAGAAATGCGCCCTTTTTACCCTTTGCGTTTTCTTTTTCACAGTTGATGCTATGCTTATAGAACCAAAACTTGACCAGCTATCATCTGATGCACTGGTTTCTGTATTTGAATCCTACGTCGTCACCACAAGTACAAAGCATAAAGTAAGTTCTGTTTTTTGTAGGCTTATTATATGTTTTCCGGTCTTGCAAATATAGTGTTTTTTGTTTTTGGCCACTGACATTTTTGCTGTTCATCCCTATCTTCACACAGTTCTCTTTTTAGTCTCTATTTTAAACATTCGTTTAAAAAACTGATGTGGCATTCCGAATCATATTTTTAAAGTACTTATATTATAAGAAAAAATAATGGAGGCTTGACAGAGTGGGCTACAAAAACAAACGGCTTAAATTACTTGGATGAAGAACACTAAAATTTGCATGGATGAAAAACACATTTAAGCGCAATTTGTATTACCACTAACCACATTAATGCAAACAAAGGGCTACCATTTGATCATCTGTTCTTGAATGGTTTAGTAGGTCCCGGAGGATACTTATGAAGGGTGTAGCTCCAATGCCAAGTCCTACAAGAAGCAAGACATCATAGTTATGATAGTCCTGTGCAGGTGCACCATATGGTCCATCAACAAGCAATCGAGGTAAACTGCACATAAGTCACCTTTTGTCAGAGTCTCACTTAAAAATAATAATGCATTTCCGATAACATTTATCATTGATATGACATTACCCTCGCTGATCAACATTCCCGAGTTCGCCAAACTTTGCCCTGCCTATCTCACATATTGAGCCAACGTTCTCTGTAAAGACTCGCTTGAGTTCTTTTGTCCAGTCCCCTACAGTGCGGATGTGAATACTAAGGTTGTCATCATCTGGTGCTGAGGTTATTGAAAATGGATGCCTGACAAAAAAAGTGTCATGTATTCCACATCGGTTGTCCATCAGGTTTTGAGTACATAGCGGTGAGATAAAACAGATATCTTGAGGATCCATTGGGGTGAATTAGCTCCAATTTAATATGATATCAGACTCTGGTGCGATGGTGTTGGTGGTGTGTGTGTCCATTCAATGGTTTGTGTTTTCGGTTGGTTTGGATTTGTACGTTCTTTAGTTAGTCAGGCCAGTTTGGACTGAGTGGGTGTGTTAAGTCTCCCAAATTGGTTGTTCCCTGGGTTTGAGTCTAGTATCAGATTGTTAGACCCATTTAACAAAAATGACGTGTTGGGTTAAATGTTTAGGGTGAAATTTGAAACTGTCCTAAATGAGCCATTGGGTCCATACCATTCAAATGAGGATATTATTGGGCATTGTAAGAATATGTACTGCCCGCTCTTGTATTTGAAACCAGTTGGTTTTGCCATAACCAAACTAAATACATCACCTGGAAGTACAGAAACCTGCAAGGATAGAAAAAAATAACTTTTAGTATTTTTCTTTTCCATTTCTTTTCTTCTTCTTTCGTAATGCATTACTAACATTCATATGTTGGCTTAAAGGATTGATAACATTATTAAGAATGTGAGCCCATCTATGGCCTGTGTGTATATATGTATATTTATTACATGGAGTATCATATATGTGCAATAGATCCATTGGGGTGAATTAGCTCCAATTTAATATGATATCAAGAATGTAACCCAAAAATACATTTTTTTTGTGCTGCTACATGGGATAAAGTAATGTAATGCGGAAAGAGGGTAGTGAATTCTGGTGGTTGCAGGTTGGTAACCTTTCTTTGTATACTTGTGAACTAGTGCTTTTTGAAGTGTGCAACAGCAAATAAATTATGCATCCTTGCTTTTTCTTTCTTTTCGTAATAGAATATGATTGCATATATTTATATTAAAATAGTCTTTGCAAATACTACAGAATTACCTTCTGTATTTTAACTGCATAATGTTGTGCTCGGCGTGTTCTCAGACTCCGCTCAGCTACATATAATATCAGCGGAATGGAAATGTACATCCATGTCTGTTGTGAGTAAGATTGTACTAGCTCTTAGCATATGTTTGTTTTTAGAGAAGAAGAGAACTAGAGAAGAGATAAAAGAGAAAGACACAAAGAGGGAATAAAGCTTTAATTTTGGTTGTTCGGTTAGAGAAGAAATGAAGAGTTAGGGACAAAAGACAATAAAACATCTTGGCCGTCGCATTTTTTGTTTCCATTTTTTCACTATTTGTTTTTGCACATTTTTGCTTAAAATTGTCTTTTGTGTGTTTTATAAAAAAATCTCCACTTCTCTCTTTCTTTGTTATTTCTCTTATACCAAACACTGAATAAAATTCATCTCTGTTTCTCACATCCTTCTTTCTTCCCTCAACCAAACATATCATTAATATTCATTTTCTAAACAAGTAAAATAACTCATTCAATCTGCTTACCGTCTTATACTGCCAGCCGTGGACCAAGAATAGGAAATTGCCATGAACTAGAAGTAGCACATATACTAGAGCAAGTAGATGGTGAGAATACCAGAAGGCATTAAAGCCAGTCAATCGGTGGAGAGGTGGTGGTAGATTCAAGATATTCCTCCTGAATTGCCTTGTGGCTAATGTGAAGGAAACCACCATAAAAACCACCATCAATATGCCAGTCACACCTTCAGCACCAGTCAAAACGCTTCTGTAAGTGGGCTTAATTCCATTGAAATCTGATGCTATAAGTGCAAATTTTTCAGGCGATGAGTTAATAAGACGGGGGAAATCACACGCTAAATGGTTTCCTGCATGGAGTATGATCCCAACTGCTATGGCATAGGCTATTATCTGTAGAACATAGTACTTTGTTGTTAGTAAGAGGGTTGAACCAGTTGATGTTAAACATTACTGGGCTGATTATATCTCTCCTTTGATTTTCTCAAATTAGAAAATGATCCCTTAATTTTTTAAAATTACAAATAGATCTCTTGAACAGCCACATATTTCATAAATGACCCTTAAAACCCAAATATGATACTCCCTCTGTCCCACTAACAATGGGACAAGAGGGAGTGACACGCCAACCAATAAAAAGTGATTTATGTGGTTGATATTGAATTGATAAAGTAAGAATAAAGTAAGAATAAAGTAAGAACGATTTAGAGCCACACAAACTTTACCAAATTTGGTATGAGACGATCTTAGTAAGACGGACCAAAACAGTAAAATTGGACAATAAAAATTTTATTTTGTTTCTTTATTTTTGGTATGGAACAATCTTAGTGGGATGGACCAAAACGGTACAATGGGACGGACGGAGTATGACATAGAGATTTTATTTTTGTTTCTTTATAGCGTTTTTTATTAGTGTTAAGGTTCTTTTTAGGAAAAAAGTTTTTTGGTTCAATGTAATTTAGGCCGAAAGTGCTCAAATTTTTCTCATTTATTTTCTCATTTTCTAGTGTCATTCAGAGAAACTTAACTTTTCAGTTACTTGTTGTAATTTTTGTAGACCTGAAGGATCATTTTGTAATTTAACCATTCCTAAGGGGAGGTAGATTTATTTATAGCTATTCTCACCTTATGGAAATTAATATTGTCATCAAAGGGGATGAGTAGCCTTGCTTTTGTAGACCGTAGCAATGTCAATATGTTTCGACAAACTGGTAAAAGGATGAGAGCCATATTGAACTTGAGCGTTTCTGCTGCACCTTTAGCTGTTGGCAAGCAGTAACCCATTATTTTGAAAGCTGCCTTCTGCCTATACTGTAGGAACTTCCATGTAAAAAGTCCAACCATAGCCATAAGCCATAGCAATAGGATCCAACCTCTTTGCCAGTTCTCTATTATAAGACGCTTTAGTGCACATCTTGTTCTCTTTAATACGTTCTTGGAATTATGTGTTCCAATGTTTTGCGTCCTTCCTACACTTGCTGTGCTAAGTTGTCTACTGTAGTTCATATATCTGTCTCTTTGGAGTAGTAATGTTTCCAACTGCCATAACTGAAACAAGGGGGTAGATTGAAGTTATTCCTTTGCTTCTCTGGTCCACAACTATTAAATATATGGAAAATTACATTTCTATACAAAATTAGTACACAAATTGTACACACCCCTTACTAATTCGTTTAAAAAATTCTGGCAATTGCCTGTTTACACGGGTAATTTTCTGTACAACTAGAATGATCCTAAATATATTATTTGCAATTGTGTTGCACTAGTTTTCCTTGGTTCAGGAGGGATATGGATCGTTGTTAATTTATGAAACTTCACGTGCCAATTTGGTAGCTCTATTTTTTCTGCTCATCGATCAAATTTTTTTGCCAGACTAAATTTCTAATTTCGGACACTATTGTGTAATAATCACAATTAAGATTTAAATTACTTTTCTAATTTGATGAAAATGACTACTGTTAGCTTCTTTATATAATTTTGTATTTTTTGAGAGAAGTAATTCAAACACTTCAAACTTTAAATTAATAGGTGTGAGGTAAATATTCCAAACTTGCATTTGTAATATACATATAACAATTTTTATATAAAAAGTTATCTTAGCACATTGATAGTTTGGCTGTACATTTATCTTTACAAATGTAAGTTTATGGTCTTAACTGCATAATCAAAATGCTCTAGCATTTATGTGAGTACAATTAACATGGGATCTAGGATGATAATGTCGGGTTGACCAAAATGAGGTTTACCTATTTTCTGGGGTGATTTAATATTCATGTATATACTCGCTCCGATTCTATAACAAGTTCCATTTTTGACTTCTTTGGTTTTAAGGGAAAAGTAAAATAATAGTTGACATGAAGGAAGAAAAAGGGGGAATGAATAGTAAAAGGTGGTAAAACACATCTATTTCCAAACCGCACTACATAAATTTTCGAATTGCACTACATAAATTTTCAGAGGAACTGGGCTATGAGATTCTGAAATAGAGGACGAAACTTTCGGATTTGGCTTTGGAGATGAGGTTTCATCAAGTTCATGTAAAGGTGGAGACGATTTCGGATGAGATGGATCCATGCACAAGGGATGTGGTAGAGGCCGATGGGTTTCATATGTATGTAGCGATAGATGGGTTTCAGAGAAGAAGGGTTTGTGAGAGGGGTTGCGATGGAAAGAGCTGCAGGGGGTAACGACGGAAGGGGTTTACGAATGGTAGTGACGGAGGAGGGTGGGGGCGGGGGAATGAAGGGTTGCAGAAGGGGGAGAGAGACGCTGACAAAGGAGAGATGGAAGTGAGGGGCGTAAAGTTAGTAAATGGGGAAAATAGGTAGATCAGATACGGGGTAAAATAGTAAATGGATGGGAAAAAGTTTCCAAATATAGAAAGTGGAACTTTATTTTGGTACTACCCGAAAAGGAAAGATGGAACTTCTTTTAGAATCGGAGTGAGTATATAAACTATTGAGAAGTGGGAAAAGGGTCAAATAGGCCCTCGAACTTACATAAAAAGGTCAAATAAGCCCTTATATAGGAGGTTTTGTCTGGTCGTCGCCATTTGGGACAGTTCACGGTGGATTTCTTTGATGAATTTTTTTGAGAATCTTATTCATCAAGTCTATTTTACTCATACCATATTTCAGCTAAAAATTCAATCGGAAAAGCATTCAAATGAATTCTTGAAGATAAATGTGTTTTTAACTGCATTCAATCGAAAGACATTCAAAGCTTATTTGACTTTTTTATGTAAGATCGAAGGCCTATCTGACCCTTTTCCCTGAAGAAGTGGATGAAGTATAAAGATGTTGAGATTACAAAATTTATGATGTGTTGATATTTATTGTACATGTGCAAGTTTAGGATATTCGAATCAGACTTCTTAGTTTAGCGTGTTCAGCCAAAATCACAATTTCAGCCAAGTTTGAGCTTTATTTATATGGATTTTCCCCCCTTGTTCAGTTACTATTCGATTTCGCGGTGGCATTTGGTCTATGAGATGTAAGATTAGTTAGGATGTTTTTACTTGGACTGTAATTCTTCCCAGACCAGATCAGACCAGACTTGGATAGTTATAAAAATACAAAGAAACCAGACCAGACCAGCAAATTACAGTCCGAGTAAAAACATCCATTATCTCGTGGAAAGTACTGTGACTGCTAATCTACAATCACTCTAAGCTATTTGGTTCATATCTGACATAACACTGGGGTCACTAAACTATTATGACAAATCTGGGATGACATTTTGGGGTACCCATTTGTAACTCACTCATTGTCTGGCTCACAAAATTCCAACCCTATAAAATAATTGCTTCACCTTAATTCATTGTTTTTGTGAACCACAAAAATAGGATGGGGTATAAATTGAGGTAAAAAATGGGATACCTTTAGATTTTTCCATATAAATATTGGTAATGTGATTTTACGATATCTAAATTCATGGGGGTCAGATTATCCGCAACATCACATCATTTTCCAGCATGGACGAATTAGTATCACATCACTTTGACAATATGAAAACCTTGTATCATATTGATTTCTTTCTCACATTTATTTCCAAGATGATGTGGTATTGCCTAGACAGCTAGACCAAACATCTAAAGTAAGAAAGGCAGCAACTTTATGTGGCTTGAGAAAGTAATGTGACGTTACCTTTGCTTTGTTTGTTTTGAGTTTTGAGATGATAGGCTAACTTTTTAGAACTCTCATCTAAGCTGCTTAAATTGGGGTTATGGTAATGTTCATTTTTGTTTTTAAATCATGTATTTGGGGTATTTTCTTTGTCATAAATCGATATTACATCACTATTTTTTATCTCAACTAATCAAAATATATTTTATCTAACGTATGTCGCCATAATCTCAAATTACTTCGTGGAATATAATTACCATTTGTTGTAATCTAACTTCTACATTAAATTATTTGGCACTATTGATATATTCGAGATGTCAAATAAACGAAAATAAGGAATGAAAGAAAGTTGATACCTCAATATATCCAATGTTTTCAGGGTCTAATTCCTCCATTATTAAAGAAGCATACTCGTCCGCACGTTCTTTCAATTTGGAGAGCTTATTTGCGGAAGCACTCAGCATTATTAGCTATTGAGATATCAAGAAAAGTAAACGATAATATTAGTTGAATTCTGCATTTCGGTGTTCAATTCCTCTCATTTTACACGATAATACTACCATTATTACCGTACTACGTGTTAGTTTGAGATCAGAAGCATTATTTTATCGATTGTTCTTTTAGCATTATTCTATCAATTAATGCGAAGAGAATCTCGCCAAGCTTTCTTGACGAGAAATGTATTACAGTAATTAATGAGCTTATAGATACGTATAATATAATAAAATACAATAATCAATATTTCACAAATACAATCTAAAACCATATAAAATTAAATATTACAATAATATTATAATAATTCTTACATCATTAATAAAATGCTAATAAAGAAAAAATATGGTGCATCCCATCTCTGCAAAAATATGGCTTAGCACATCTTTGGGTCACTTTTGCAAAACGAAAAATAATAGAAGGGGAAGATGGCGCATCCGATTATTGCGCCAAATATGACGTAAAATATCAAACACTCCACCGTTTTAGTGAAATAGTGTAGGATTTGGTGTAACTGTTGGAGCAAAAAAAATGGCAATTCCCCTATTTTGGTGGAGGTTTTGGTGATTGTTGGAGATGGCCTAATAAGTAACAAAATACTTTTTTAAAAAAATAAGTAGTGAGTAATTAACGACGTAACGTAGTAATGTGTGAATTGTTGTTAATTTTTTATTATTGTTATTATTGTTACATAGTGTTATTTTATTTTTGTTATTGTTGTTGTTGTTTATTTTTATTATTTATTTTATCGTTTATTGTTATTTTTTCTGTTGTTGTTGATAACTTGATATCATTACGGCATTATTTGTGGATTCTACGCAGGCAGTGGTCTTCGTCAAGGCTAAAGCACATAAACCCTATTACTTCGTATAATAGAGATATGATATGATTCCACCTAATACTCTACTTCTTTTCCATATATATATGGGATGGGAAGTTAACCACCCAAAATAATACCTCTACTAACCTCTTGCACTTCGTCTCTTGTGATCCTCCCGTCCCCGTTGCTATCCGCCCTAAACAACAAAACAAAACAAAAACATATCATCATCATCTAATGGCCGCCTATATAATCTGCATACAATACAAATAAAACTCAAATCACACCATTACTAATAGGCATCTTCATGGGCTAATGGAACTTCATCAAAGGTTATTACTGCTACGTAAACGTATGGTTATGCATCGGTCTTCTGCTCCTTTAATTACACCAAATTGATTTTCAAATTTGACATTTTTTTATCAAATACTTTCATTTTATTCGCGTAATTAGGATGTCAATTTTTAATTATATTCTAATTTGGAGTTTGCAACTTTGAAGAGATTTTAATGTAGTTTCTGAATATGTAAATTTTAATTATTTAAAATTGAATAAATTATCAATAAGGAGCATTGACTTTTAATTTGATTTTGCAAAACAAATTGGGATGGAGAGAGTAGATAAATTGGAATAGAAGGTATCAAATTGAGAAAAATAACAACTTATAATTGAACTTATTACATACAAACCAAGTATGATCATTGACGCCCTCTCCTCTATTAGTAATCACACATTCACACTTACATTCTTACAATAACATTTTTAACATCGAACTCGACCTTCAATTTTTATTTTTCCTCACGAAACCTGAGACTATGAAAACTGTAGAAATGATTTCATTAGAGTATACGAATTGGTTTATTCTTTTCACTTATTTAAGGGAGTATAAAAAGTGATTAATACTCGTAGACTCGTAGTTAAAATCGACAATGCTTGAGAAAAAAGTGATTATTGCCGAAAAAGTAAAACTAGAATGTTCGATAAAAATTAGTTTTGTTTAAGTGAAAAAGTAAAATACGATTAATACACTCATTCACATGTTTCCAATTTTTAGCTTCAAATATTTAGATTTTTAACTTTCTTAAAATTGAAAGTTAAAAAACAACACAATTTTTTGGACCAAGTAATCTAGGACAAAATCACAAAAGATGTACAAGTGTGACAGTGCTCATCATGAAAACAACTTACGCGTGTCATGGTTTTGGTTGAATCATGCAATCCATGATCTCACATTTGTGTCACCATGTCACTCCGGGTTGACATGCTCATAATCTTTTATTCCCTTTTATTGTTTTCCTAGGTACGTACTCATGTGATCATGTCTTTTAATAATAGGACTAAAATAGTTTTAAAATGACAAAATAGGACATGTTTTTTCTTCTAAAAATAGGAGTAAGTACTGCCAAGTTCGGAAAATATTGTCATGTTTCAAGTCTGGTATTGCCAAAATATAACAGTATTTAGTCCAATTTTAGGAATAAAAACATGGCAGACCTGTTTTGGAATTTTCAAACCTTTTTAGTCCTATTTCGGGTAATATTTTTTAATAATATGATACTGATTTTATTCTTTTTGTAATAAAAACCTAATACTCCATACGTTCTGATTTTCTTAAATTAATTTTCTACCAATAGAGAATACTATAATAATTTCAATAGTTAAAGTTGTGTATGACAAACGTTAAAAACCGATTATTGTTCTTACTTAAGAACGAAGGAGATAACCATTAGTAATTATTTTTAAGTTAACTTTTGTAAATCAATAAAACTTTTAATTTAATTTTTGAAAATGTAAACTTAAACTTTCAATACCAACTTTACAACTATTAGAGAAAATCTGATTTGATTCAGAATTATTTTTGCATATTAATGAAACCCGAGTTTTTTAAATCAGTGTTCAAATATCATTTTCAATTTTTAGATGTTTTTAATTGAACTCAAATTTTCTTATTTGAACTGATCTAGTTTGAGTTACTTAAATCCGGTCTGAACTTGATCGACATATATCTATTCCATGGGTAGTATTTACAAGTTACAACTATCAATGTGTAATCTAATCTAATTTGGTGTGTTTTGATTTGTTCTTTAGGACTTGAATGAGTCAAATAAAAACATTATTTTTAAGTATTCCTTAATTAACAAGCTAGTACTTCGTAATTTTCAATTAAGTGGAAAAAAGAAATTCCTAGTTATAATTGTCATGAAATAAAAACAAATGATATACGAAGTGTAGTATTTGAAGTAAAAAGAGAAGCTAATTAAAAGGATCGAGACCCGGCCGCAGACATACATGTCGAAGAAAATCTGAAGGCGAGCGTCAAAGCTCTGGTCTGAAATCTGCAGCCAGAAGTCATGAAGCTCTGCTTTCGTAATCCTTGCCACCTTCTGCCTCCGCCGCCGCACCAGTGCATCAAAAACACCTACGGCAAACTCCTTCGAATCCGCCATTCCTGCAGATTTTATTTTGTTATTGTAATAAAAACGAATCAAAATGGATGAGATTAGAATTGAAGCGGAAATTTAGGTAACAAAATATTTGTCTGATCATATCGGATCAGTAAAAAAAAAGTAAATTCGGTGTACCAATACAATCGCCGAAATCTTCTCTAGAAAGCAAACCGTCTTTGGCCAATGCACCGAAGCGAGACTCGACTTTCTTCCACAGCTCATCGCCTTCAGGTTCTTCGGCAGTTTTACTGATGAATCTCAGCCCTCCTAGAGCACGCTGAGCACTCGATTTATTCCTCACAAGCTTCAAGTTCGATCTCATAGCCTCGCGCGACGTCGACGCCGCCGTCTGATTGACATCTCTCTGCTGCGCCTGTTGTTGATCGTCCCCGCCGTCTGAGGATGACGAAGCTCTGGACGGAGACCTCAGCCACGACAGTTTCCGGTGAAGCTTCGACGCAGCCGAAATCGTCCTCCCCAAAATCCCGCTCGCGGCCGCCGCTGACTCCACTCTGTTCGCGTTGTTATGCAGTGGAGTACGAGGACTGACGCTGCAGAGAACGACGGAATTATCGTCGAGATCCACCGTGAGCTCCACAAACTCCTGCTTATGCTCGTTACGATTCGTCCTCAGGTCATCGAGGAAAATCGGCAGCATTGGTCCGCCGAAGCAGTGAGGATGCCTCTCCGCCGCGGACGACGGTGGAGTGGAATCATCCGGCAAGTCAAAATTCCTGCTGTAATTAGCTCTTACAGAACTGCAACCATCCGACGAGCTTCGCATCAACGACTTCAGCTTCATAATTTCGACCCTAACATTAATCGTCTTCTCAATCCTTTTCCTGTTTTCGTGAAGAGAGAGAGGTAGAGATCGATTAGAAGAGGATGGATGTACGATCGGTGCTTAGGCCACAAGCATTGTTCGGAAAAGACGCCGAAACAAACACTTCTCAACCGATCGCAGAACACGAATTCAACGCCTCTGTTTCCCAGGTAGCTGATGTGAGGAGGCCAGGGGATGAAAAAGGATTATAAAAGATGGAAGTGGTTGTGGTTTGATTTCATCAGAGAATAATATTCATAATAATAATCTATCACCACTACCTCGCTTGTGCAGTACACAGCCTATACCCTCAACCGATTTAGACTTGTACTTCTTTAATTTTATCTAAACCTCCCTGTCATCTTTTTTGGAGTAGTGTTTATACTCTTAATTACAGCAAGCTAAGTCTGCGCGCATAAAAAATTGAAAATGACCACATTTTTAATAAATGTGAAAACGGTAAAAAAAGTTTGAAATTCCAAAATAGGACTATCATGTTTTTATTCTTTGAATAAGAGTAAATTTCTGCCAAGTTTAGCATTAGTAGGCTCTAAAACATGATATTTTTTTCCAAACTTGGTAGATTACACATATTCAAGGAATAAAAAACATGATACGCTTATTTTGAAATTTCAAAACGTTTTTGCTCCTATTTAGAGTAATTTCTAACAATAGAACGCCAGCTCTAAAATTAGATACGGAGTATGGAAGTTTATTAACTCATATTTTATCAAGATCTCACATCATGATTATAAATCGGGTGGACTCTGATATATTGTTAATATATTGTTAAGACTTGAGTTTTCATTTAAAAAATCAACTTGATAATACGGAGTGATTCCAAATTATACTACAACTGTCCTCTAATATTGGTACAAGAAGACGTAGTGTAGTGTGAGTATCAATAAAATTAAGTTTAGGTGATTAATGTTGAATTGATTAAGTGAAAATAATGTAAGAATGATATTGTGAAATGTGATATGTGAAATTTTAATATGTGATTTTAACGGGATGTAAGTTTAGGCGATTTAGAATGAATTACAAATTTGATATGTGAAATTTTAATGGAACGGATAAAAAAGGAATTATTGAACAATTTTGTGACGCACCTAGTAGTAATTTCCAGAGTATAAGTTTATATTTTATTGAGAAATACTTCACTAAAAATCAAATAAGATTTTGAGAAGTAACATACGCGTGTCTGATTTTGGTTGAATCATGCTATCCATGATCTCACATTGGTGTCAGCATGTAACTGAGGTACACATGCTCATAATCTTTCACTCCCTTTTTAAATTTATTATTACCTCCGTCCCAAAAAATACTTCCCGGTTTAACTTGATGACATGCATATTAAGAAAGTAGAATAAAGTTGAAATGTATTGTTGAGAATATTTTATGGTGTATAATCTAATTAAATATTTTTATGTTTGTGTAGTTATTAATAAAATGTGCAATATGGGGCACAAATGTATTTCAGCCCATTAATTCTCTTGTAAGGCTTAAGTTATACATCCTTATGTATAAAAGGATGCTAACTTAAACAAACCCTAAATCTTACAAGCCTTTAACGCATATATCATTCTTAGAATGAAAGAGCCGTAACTTTTTATTTTCGATACCCTATTCTTTATTTCTAAATCATTCTTGGTATTGAATCAAAATTGTTTCTTCTTCACTCTATATTTTTTGTATGATTGTTGGATGATATTGGGAAAAACATGTATGGTTGTGGTTGTGTAAAAAAAGGTAAAATGAATGTGAATCACATAAATTGTTCAAAAATGGGAGGTGTGAAGTATTTTTTGGAACGGCAAAAAAAGGAAAGTGGAAAATATTTTTTGGGGTTGGAGGGAATAATATATACTAGGTAGTACGTAGTATATAGTAGTCACGCATGTCGATTATGAGTTTTATCTAGACTTAATTATCAAAATTGGACTAAAAGTCATTCACTTTTCACAAATAGGACCAAAAAATGAACTATGTTTGCATAGGACTAATTATGTGTACCTTGGACAATTATACCCTTATAACTATTAAAATGTTTTAATTCCTAATAAAATAATAAATAATAATAAAAATTCATAAAAAATACTAAAAAATTAAGAAAAACATTTTCGATATTAAAAATTTAATTAATTTTTTTTCAAAAAATTTAAAAAAAAATTTAAAAAAAAAACTCAAAAAAAAAATCGCCGCCGCCTCTGCCGCCTCAGCACCACCACCTCCAGTCACAAGGGGAAAAAATGTCAAGTTCATTACGAATCCCATATTTATGGCAGAAAAAAATGAAAATGTTGGCATTCGAAAAGAGAAATATGCCACTTTTTTGGCATTTTAAGAAAAAAATGGCATTTTTCTGGGAAAATGGCATTTTTTTCATCGGCCAAAGGTGGTGGTGCTAGAGATAGTACAGGCAGTGGGAAAGGCATCCATATTTTTTTAAATTTTTTTACGGAGTTTTACTATTTTTTATTAATTTTTTTAAAAATAAAATTATTTAAAAAAAAGTTTTTGAATTTTTATTTTATAAAAATTTTATAAATTTTTTAATTATATTTCTACGAATTTTTGATTTTTTTTTCGAATTTATTATGAATTAAACTTTAATTATGACTTTTGACTATTTTTAATTCATATTTAATGGAAGGGTAAGAATGGAATGCAAAAATAGGTATGTTTCCAATAGGACTCATATGGTCCTATTTTGGAATAATAACATAGCAAGTCCTATTTTAGGTTTTTGCCATAGTTTTAGTTCTATTTGAACTAATTTCTATTTTATCTAGTACGAAGTATCAATTTTTCAAAGAAGTTTTATCCAGCATCAATTGTTGATTATTTTTGAATTTGATTTTTTAAATCGATATAACATTTAATTCTCAATACTAACTTAACGACTGCCTTCAAAAAACATACGGAGTAATATATACGATGCACTAACTTAACATCGATCTACTCCGTATCATTTGAGAAAAAATAGTTTATTATTCACAAATCACAATTACTCCGTATTATCTAAGAACAAATAAATAATCCAATTGTTTTGGATTTTCTGCTAGTATAAACATATTATAAGGTTTTGGATCTGTGTGAGTTATATTAAGAGATCCAATTAATTATATATTTGATTCAAGTGTTTTGGATTTTATTTAAGAAACATTAACTTAATTTAACTCATTAAGAAAATCCATTATATATTAGTTATCCATCGCTTCAACAACGTAACCATTCAGTCAAATTAATTAATGTTTGATATAAATGACAAAGAGTCCTTAAAAATACACGATCGAGTATAAGGTTGAATCGTTGATTAAAGAACATGTCACAAAATGAACAGTTGTATAATGAGTTTTTTATAATGTAATCTGTGAAAAAATGTTACTCCGTATTAATTAAAATGATTATAATTATAGAAATTAGTTTAAATAGTACTAAAACTATGGCAAAAATTCAAAATAGGACTTGCTGTGCTTTCTTTATCAAAATAGGATCATATTAATCCTATTGGAAACATACTTATTTTTTCATTCCATTCTTACCTTTTCTTTAAATACATAGTATGAGTTAAAATAGTCAAAACCATAATTAAATATTTAATTCATAATAAATTCGAAAAAAATTCAAAAAATAATTAAAAAATTTATAAAATATTTATAAAATTAATAACTCCAAAAAAAAATTATTAATTTTTTTAAAAAAATAATAAAAAATAGTAAAACTCCATTAAAAAATTAAAAAATATAGATGCCTTTCTCACCGCCCGTACTACCTCCCTCCACCACCACCTCCGACCGGTGAAAATAATGTCATTTTCCCTAAAAACTGCCATTTTTTTTTAAAATGCCAAAAATATGGCATATTTCTCTTTGAGAATGCCAACATTTTCATCGTTTTCTGCCATAAATATGGCATTAGTAATGAATTTGGCATTTTTTTACCTTGGTCACTGGAGGTGGTGGTGCTGAGGCGGAAGAGGCGGCGGTGATTTTTTTGAGTTTTTAATTTTTTATTTTATTTTTTAATTTTTGTTTTTGAAAAAAGTTAATTTATTGTAATTATCGCAATATTTTTATTAATTTTTTAGTATTTTTTACGATTTTTTATTTTTATTATTTTATTGTGAATTAAAACATTTCAATAGCAATAAGGGTATATTTGTCCAAGGCACACATAATTAGTCCTATGAAAACATAGTTTATTTTTTGGTCCTATTTGTGCAAATTAAAGTGAGTGACTTTTAGTCCTATTTTGATAATTAACTCTTATAATTATATTTCTATAGTTACTATGATTTAAAAATTAAACATTATGAGTTATTAAAAGTTAGTAAGTCACATTTTATCCATTATACGGAGTATTAGATATTATTTCTTTTATTCTACGTAATTTATTACGGAGTACAAAGAATTAAATTTTGATTACTTTTTACATTCACTAGCGGATTTAAATTATAACAACTTATACGCTCTAGGCAGTGCTTATACCGTGGAACCGGTGCATGGTGAGCATCATGCACCCTTTGTTATTTTTTATTTCTCCTTTTCTTAAAATTGTTAATATTTTTTTTTATTTTTGATCCGATTTTTATAAAATTTATATTAATTTTTTTTATTTTTCATGATCTTTCAAATGAGACCAATATTGCCTATGTAATTTTAATTTTTTACATTCATACATTTTTTGTAATATATTTTTATATTCATACACATTTTCTATGATATTTTTTTTATCACTTTTATATGTTTTTAGAGGTTTTTAAGATATTGAGTTTGTTTATTTTGCTTCTAGCTTGGAGTTACATTTGATAAGATACGAAGTTACATTATCTTATACTCCAGTTACAAGTTATTATGTGTGAGTTACATCTTGTTATGTGTGAGTTACATCTTGTTATCCACGAGTTACATACTTTTATGCGCGAGTTACATGTAATTATGTGTGAGTTATATCTAATTATTTGTGATTTTTTACTTATCTTTATCTTGAACTAATTCAATTATAACTGAATTAATTTTTTTCTTTGCCAATTTAATACAAAATTTTATTAATCCACATAAAATAAGTATATTGTATTTCATATTCATACACTATTTTTCAAATGATAAAAATGAAAGATGTAGCAGGTGTTTATTTCGTGGTGTAACTCACATACATTAAGATGTAACTCGCATATATTAAGATGTAACTCGCGTACAATAAGAAGTAACTCACGCAGAAGAAGATGTAACTTCATGATATAGTATCAAATGTAACTTCAAAATAATTTGTTAAAATTACATAAGCAATATTGGTCTCATTTGATAGATCATGAAAAATAAAAAAAATTGATATAAAATTTA